GGACTCTTATTTCCATGTATCTGTGTTTAGTTTTCCTGATACAGCACATCCTTGAGAACTTCTTGGAGGTCTGGTCTGGTGCTGGTAAATTCTTTCAGGTTTTGTTTATCTGAGAATGTTCTTGTCTTTTCTTCCCACCTGAAAGATAATCTTGCCGGGTACAGTATTCTTGGCTGAAATTGCTTCTCTCTTAACACTTTGAGTATATCTTCCCATTCTCTCCTCGCTCGCATTGTTCCCAATGAGAGAATCTGCTGTTAGCCTGATGGGATGTCCTTTGTAGGTAACTTGCTGTTTTTCCCTTGCCAATCTTAGGATCTTGTCTTTGTCTACGGTTTTGGTCAACCTGGCTATAATGTGTCTTGGAGAAGATCTTCTTGGGTTGATTCTATTTGGGGTCCTTTGTATTTCCTGGGACTGGATCTTCGAATGCCTCTCTAGGTTTTGAAAGTTTTCTTGCAGGATTTCATGGAATAGATTATCAATGCCCTTATGGGTCTCTTCACCTTCTGGAATGCCAATTATCCAGATGTTTGGACGTTTGATGGCATCTAGTACTTCTCGTATATTATTCTCAAAGTTTTGGGCCATTTTCTTGGTCTTCATGGTGGATTTTTCTAGGCCAGCCATTTTCTCTTCTACATCTGAGATTCTATTTTGGGAATGATCTAGTCTGCTTTTAATACTTTCAAGGGAGATTTTGACTTCCTGTATTATAGACTTCATCTCTAACAGTTTCATTTGATTCTTTTGTAAAGTGTGTAATTCCTCTTTTAGATCTTGCAAGAATTTCCTCATCTCCTGGAACTCATCAGCTTCTTTCTCCTTTCTCTTTAGCAGTTCACTATCTCTCTTCTCTTCCATCTCTGTTAGCTATGACATTATGAATGCTCTAAATTCCTTATCAGACATTTCCATGATTTTCACCGAACTGCTTGTGGATGAAGAAGAGTTACTCTTTTCCCTGATGGATGGTGTGTTTCTTTCAAATTCTTGAAGTCCAGTCTGAATGTTCAGGAGCAAGCAGACAGAGGTGATCTAGAATCTCTTTGCCGTTCTGTTGTGATTGCTGGTGCAGCAGATTCAGTAGATATTGAGGAATATTTTAACCCTCTAGCTTGTTTGCTGGAGGCTGAATTATCAGTAGAAAATCTTCATTTCTCGTGTGCCCTGAAATACCTAGTTCACAGGAGCCATGTGGAATCTTCTTCTCCTTTTTCCTTTTTTCTTAGTGTTACAAGCATTGCCATTCCCAAATACTACCCTTTCTTCTTAAGTTCCCTATTTCCCCCAACAAAAAGCACTCTAGATTTATCCAAAACTGTGGGGAAGCTGGGAAAAAACACAGCAGAGTCATAGTTGTTATGTGAGTTACAAGGCATAGAAGGGTACCTGAATGAATGGAAATGAGTTACATAATGTCATTGCTATTGAGGTTGGGGAGATGCTGGGAGGTGTATGCTGTGGGTAGAATTATAAATAGTTAACATCTTTCTGGATAACATTTGGTTAACGCAGTTGTGTGCTACATAATGATGACTTGGTCAGTGATAGATCACACAGTGACAGTGGTCCCACAAGCTTATACCATATAGCCTGAGTGTATAGTAGGCTGTACCATCTAAATTAGTGTAAGTACACTCTGATGCTTGTACAATAATGAAATTGCCTAATTCATCTCTCTTATCTTTACTGTTAAGCAGTGGATGACTGCACTTACCAAAAGCCTTAGACTTCTTCCTTTTGCCTTAGAAATTTCACATCTATAAACAGATCTTATTAAAAAAAAATAGATGAATAGGTCTAGCCTTGATGGTACAGGGAATAGAGTACTGATCTGCAGTGCTGGAAGCCATAGGGCTGACAGTGTATTTGGATCATGAGTAGATGCCCAAGGTCCTGATAGCTGGAAGGCTTGGAGTAGGGGACCATAATGTAATGAGACCCCGTCAAGGGTGTCACCCACCCCTCATATAAACATAACGTACATAAGAAACTAATGAGGTAAACTTGGGCTAGCCAACTGGTAGGTTGTTAAGGCAACTGGGTCCCACATGGCCACCTCAGCGGTTAGAGTCCCGGTTCCAGTGGCTTGAAAACATGTCAGACCCTTGTAGGTGTGTGCCCCAAATCCCAAAAGAGGCATGGAGGAGAACGAATTTCAGTGTGGTCATTTCCCGTGGGGGTGGTGCTTTTCTCACTTTATCTGTCTTCCATGAGTGCATGTATCCTATAGCAAATTAAAAAACAACAAATAGAAAGGAGGGGTGGTGGATCCATAGCTATGACGATAGCAGCAGTGGTAGTTGACTTCAGTGGGTCTCACATGCAGTGAGTACATTCACCCTGTAGAAAAAAAAAAAAAAGGAAAAGAAAAAAGAAAAGCAAAGAAAAGAGAAAAGAAAGCTAGTCAACAAGGGTATAGAGATTTCTTCCAAGAAACAAACCCGAATGAACCTGTAAAAAAAAATACTCAAGACGTTCTGTAATGATGAGCCGTCAAAGCCTCACTTAAGGGATACTTTTATGAAATAAGTCTTGAAAAAATTCCTGAGAAAGTAGCACTGTGGAGCACCTGCCTCATCACTCAGTGCTGGTGACAAGAGGCTTTCTCCTCACTTTTTCTCACACAGTCCTCACTGTCCTAAAGATGCAGAGGCATCTCTGAAGACATGTCCTGTTTGGAATGAGCAGCACTTAGGACTGGGTTCTATGTCTGATGTCATTTTGCATTCTGATAATTTTGTCTTCAGAATTTTGTTCTTAGGGAGTAAAATGGAACATGATAGTACTGTTTACCATTTTAAGCAGGTGCATAGTTCTCAGTAGTCTTTAATGTATTGGATACATGTTCAGATTATCATTCATAGTGAGGTATGTGGAGTCAGTAGTAGTGAGTGATAGAATGAGTCTCCACTATTTAATTCTTCTCTGGATAGGTAAGGCTGGTTATGGTATTTTACAAACATACACAGTAGGACCAAGTTATATACTGTTAAACGTGTGAATTGTATGGACAGGGACAGGACAAATCAGTACCTTTATAGAATACATTCAGCAGTATTTAAGACTTATTTTTCCTATGTGATGATTACTGGACATTTTAGTCCATCAGGAAGAAATCCAAGAAGGACAAAGATTTCAGGATTCTTGGTTTATTGAGAAGTTGTTGAAAATCTTACATGGTTAAACATTCAGTGGGTAAGTGTTAAATTGAGTCTTAATGACTGTACAGATGAACAAGAGTTAGAGCAACATCTCAATGATGGTGTCTGAAGAAGAGAGAATACTAATTTGAAAAAAATGTTTTAATGTGATTTCTGATGTCGTCATTAACTTTTGAAATACAAGCCTGTTTGACCCTTCATAACCAATTAAAAAGATTTTGAATTAACTATTTTAGATGTATAGTCAGTGGAAAGGTTTAGCATATGTAATGCTTATTTTTTTCCTCTTGCAGTTTAGAAGTTGCCGTTAATGGGCTTAGAGATAATTAGAAAGTTTTGTGGGCCATAAGACTGAATAATTGAATTGAATAAAGGCTAAATTAAAATTTGAAACTAATTAAAATCCTGGGTGTTAGGCTGTAATTAAAACCAGGTTGTTAGATACTGTTTGCTTTAGGAATAGAACCATAATATATGAATTTAGAAAAATGAATTCATTAGCAAAGAGTTAGGGTTTGGAAAGTCTTTTTTTCCCCTTTTTCTTGTGTGCTGGAAAATAAAGGGTGAATCAGGTACTTGTT